TTTCCTTTGGGGCTTCACACATCAGTTTAAAAAGAGAAAAATCAATCACAAAGTGAAGAGCTGACATGGTAGCTTGCATCGATAATAAGTAATCAGAAAATTCTTCAACTGTATTCCATCTAGGAGTCCCTGACACTTTTTTTCTGACCGCTTCCTATAGACTGCCATATAAATCATCAACGTACTTGAAATATGCATTTCACCTGGATTAAAAATCTGCAGGGAGAGCTGATCACCCCTGGCAGTAGGCCACCTAAAAGGTAGTAAGGATAAACATCCCTTCCTCCCAACAGTGACTGCTTCCCTCTGAGAAGGAAAGAGCACAATGAATGAAGGAAGACACCCTTTCTCTTTCTTGATCAAAACATTCAGCCCTTAGTTTTGACATAATGTTAATAAGTCCTTAACGGGCTGCTATTTTGACCTAATTTCAACGCACATCAAACAGATTGGTCATTATTATTTCTGGGCTCATCTACGTGTTTGTAAAAAGAGCTGCATTTGAGATGAATGGAGGTGGTTCAGTAGATAGCCATGCAATCTGGAATGGGGAAGCATCCTTCTAATTCAATTGCTTCATCCACAGAGAAGTGAAGTGGCTTGCCTAGAACAGTGGACTCTACCCAAATCAAATAATCCTGAGGTCATCCCTCTATGTTGTTGGTGCTACCACAGTGAACCGGCTAGCACCACACACACCTAGGTAACGTGAGAGCCAGCTCAGTTTGCTGTCCTAATGTGCAATCCCCCCACACCCCCACTCTGCCCCAGGACAAAACTCCTTTCTGTGAAATTGGCCACATTCGATAAGAGCTTCCTGAATCACATGATGCAGAGCTGCCTGTGTTTGCAGAGCCAGGGCAGATGATCTTTGCAACATCCATGGTACCTTCCATGGCGCACTTGTAAACAGGGAGATTTGTCTTCTGCCGTCCCAATGCGCCCTTTCCACATCTTGCTCTCCCTCCCTCTTAGCGCTCAGGTGCTGAGACTCAGACTTTAGTTATCACAGTGATCATTGTATTTTAAGCCTATAATCTCTTCATGTGGAATTAAAGCACTTTTAGTATGTTCCAGGCATTGAGAAGCAACTGGAAAGACATATTTCGTGTAGAGGTCCTCTACGACCACTAAGCCTGACCCCTGACAATGAGGTAAAGTGAATAGGTTTAGTGGGACTGGCAGAGAGAGGCAAAGTGAGATTAGAAAAGAACATATATATGCGGTCTCCCCAGTCCAAAGAGCTCCAATGACCCCAGGTCCACTCCAGGCCAGTTTAGCCAAGGCTTAATCCGGGCAGCAGCTGGGCCCAAGTTGGAGAAATTCAGGCTTGAGCAAAGGCTCACCCAACAGGCCCCTTTCTTCCCCATATCTGCCCCTTCTCATTCTGCTCCAAGGCTCTCTGATGGCTGTTTCACATCTTAACTGCTTTGCAATCTCATGGAACACAGAACTCTGTCTCCTATATTATTTCTTCCTCTGTGAAGTTTCTGATAAGTATGTTTTAGCTCACATTTTCCATCTTATAAAAATCCTGGGAATGAACTGCCTTGGGAATTAATGAGCTCCTCATCACGCAGAACTTTGTTGAGGTGAACTGAACATTGGCTAGGTAATTGGACAAGAAGGATCCTTCTGGGCTTCTATTAGAAATAATAGTACAGGGGCGCCTGGGTGGCTCAGTCAGTTGAGCATCCGACTCTTGGTTTCAGCTCAGGTCATGATCTCGGGGTCCTGGGATAGAACCCCGCGTTGGGCTCCGCACTCAGTGGGGAGTCTGCTTGTCTCCCTCTCTCTCTCTCTGACCCCCCGCCCCCACGTGCCCCCCCAAGCACACTCTCTCTCTCTAAAATAAATAAATAAATATTTTTTAAAAAAGAAATAATAACAATGATGAAAATGCTAATGATGATGTAGTTATAATAATAATAATAATAATAGGTTTTTTCATTTGCAAAACATTTGATAGATTGCAAATCTTTTTCAAGTTCGCTCTCTAACTTGATCTCATTTATCCTACAAAATTGGTAGGACAGATATTAGTTAGGATCCCCAAGTTAAAGGTGAGGTCACTTGTTGAAGGTCACATAGATAAAAAGAGGTTAAAGTAGTTTCCCTTTCCAAAGGGTGCCTCTTCCACTGTATACTGCTGCCTACAAAAGAAATGAACCATGCACTGAAAACAACTGATAACAAGCTTCAAACCATTTTCCGCCACTAGGGGAAAAAGGGCTTTCATTAATTCTTAACTTCTATCATCTTTCAGTACAAAATTCCTAGCAAAAAGGATGATTCATACAGGTAGCACAAGCAAACCATCAGAGGTTGTTTAAGTCATTTTAGAATCACAAACTCTTAGGGTGCATCCTGGAAGGTCTTTCCCCTCCATTTCAACACATTCTACTCTAGGACAAGTGCAAATCTTAGAGGTCATTTACACAACAAACAAAAGAGTACTAGTAAAGCAGACTGTGTATTTATGTTTCAGATTGTTATGCCATAAGAAGTCAGTTTATATTTGTATACAAGCATTCATACCTAGCTACAAAACCAAACATTTTTCAATTATATCCCTATTTTCAAACAACTGAATGTTCCCACAATTACCTTGATGGATCAGGTGGTGAATTTTATCTTAGTCATTGCAATGGTATAAAAATCATAGACCTGGACATTATTTTTTTTTATCATACTACAAACTTGTTTTAAATTCTGGTATACAACTTTAAATACCAAGTGTTAGCACATGTTTTATCTCATAATGACAACAATAAAATCATCATGAAACCCCAAAGTCATGAATAGCTATTCAAGGTATCATAATCAGACTTCCAGAAACACAGTGGAAGTATGCCAGCAGTGTGGAAGCCAATGGAAGTTAATGTTATGTGGATTAAATAAGAATTAGCCTATCGTAAATGGTCTTTTACTAACATAGAGCCTGCAACTTAGTATGTTTGGATAAGTAATAAGGACGTGATTTTACACAGGTTATTCAAGTAGAAAGTAAGCAGAAGTCTGTCTTCATCCTAGAAGGATGGAGCTTTAAGAATTTGGGGAAAAATAATTTTTTAAAAAGACAACAAATCTCTGTGGGCCAGGAGATGAACAATACGGCAACGCTGAAATCACTGCGACGTTTTGTATCTTTTTTTTCTGTGTGGTTTATAATCCTCAAGGTTTCCCCCCTTTTTTTTCCTTACAATATAGAAAGTTAAAAAAAAAAACTTTCCATTTTTTCCTATCTTCCTTAGAATGTAAATTCTGAAAGATCTGGACTTGCTATTGTATGCTCTTTTACCCCAACTTGGATTTCAGGATTCTACGTCATGAGCTCTTAAAAAAAAAAAAAAAAAACATTAAATGAGTAAATTCAACTAACTCATGGTGTAGTTCAACAGAATAAGCATTTACTAAATCTTTATTCACAAGGCGTTGGACTAACTACTAGGGAGCCAACTAGGGTGTATCTATGTTTCCTGAAATATTGGGAAAGGTAAACTTTGCCCATAGGACCCAAGACTCAAAGGTAAATTCCTTTACAAAAGAAATGATAAACGTTTGCTAAAAGACTTTAACAAAAACGTACATCCAGTTATGCATGTTTTAGACTGACAACATTCCCATTCTCCAAAGGCTTAAAAACCAAATCCCTCATCACGGACTTTCTAAACGCCCGCTGATCTCAATCAGAAAAGACTAAGTACTGAAAAGCTGTCCAACTCCTGGTAGCGGATACATGTTTTCTAAACTTCTATTTCTCACTTGAAAACTCAAAAATTATCATTGGCAACAATAATTGTCCTTGTTTTCCTGGAAGTGACAGATGCACATTATTTATTTTCGAAAAAATGTCTATCGAATGCCTGTCTGAATAACCGTAGTTTGTCCAACTTTCTTTCAAATAAAAATAGTGTCCCGTGAAAATAAAAATAAAAATACTAGTTCAGCTTGCAACTCAAACACAGAAGTGTTTTCCTAGAGACAAATAATATGGTACTCAGGTATTTAGCACATGTGCTTATTTTTCTTCTTTTTTTCTTGTATTTTTCTTATTTTTTTCACACAGAATTTAAAAAGTGTGGGGCGCCTGTGTGACTCAGTTGGTTGAGCCACCGACTCTTGGTTTCGGCTGAGGTCCCGACCTCAGGATGGGGAGACCCAGACAGGTCCGGCTCTGGGCTCAGCTCAGAGTCATGCTTCAGACTCTCTCCCTCTGCCCCTCCTCCACTCACATGGGCACTCACTCTCTCGCTCCCGAAAAATAAATCTTCAAAAAGTGAACCAAAGAGTTGAACTCTAATAAAACTAATAATTTTTACTGCTTTATGGAGAACACTCTCAAGTGACGCCGGCTTTTACCGCGGTACCCCGCTTTGAATCACTCTAAGACGCCTGAACCTTTACTCGCCATTGTTTGCAAACGTCAACACAGTGAAAGAGGCAAATAAATCTTAGCATTGTCCTGAAAATGGTTTTGACGCGGCAGACCCCTGAAAGGGTCTCAGGAATTCTCAGGAGGTTCGAGAACCACACTTTGAGAACCACTGGGTATTTATACATACAGAAATCACGGGTCCCTTTTTCTTCAGTTATTAATTCTTGAGGTTTAGTTATTGTTATAGGTTTGATCCCTGAGCGTCAAAGAAAAGACACGCCAAGGCGTCGAACACATCCAACAGATACACCCCGGCCCGCGTGCAGCTCCAACGCTCGCGTAGGAAGAAAACAGCGCTTGGGTCGGGGGACCCGGATTCAGACCTCCAGCCGGGGCTTGCGGTTGCCCCCGGCAACGATCGTCGGGGGAGGGAGCGCGGCCATCGATTAGTAATGTCTGGCGTCCGTCACCGGACGTGGGGGCGGGGGCATGGCTGGAGAAGGAAGGCCTCCCCGGACTTGCGGTCGTCGCGTGTTTTCGGTTGTGAGGCGGCTCGTTTGTTCTGCGATCTATTGAGAGTGGCTTCCGACAGCCCTGGGTTGATGTCGGGGAGGGAGGGAAGATGGCGGCCGTGGCGGCGGGCGGCCTGGTGGGGAAGGGGCGCGACATCAGCCTGGCGGCCTTGCAGCGCCACGACCCCTATATCAACCGCATCGTGGACGTGGCCAGCCAGGTGGCTCTGTACACTTTCGGCCATCGGGCCAACGAGTGGGTGCGTGCGGACGCGACGGGGCCGTGCAGGCAGGGGGAGGGTGGGGACGGGGTCGTCAGACTCGGGGCTCCAGAACCCAGTGAGGGGGAGGAGACGCTAACGCCCTGGAGGTGGATGGAGGTGGATGGTGGTGGATCGCGGCCTGAGGCCGAAGTTGTGGCAACAGGACCCTTGGGCCGGGGGTTTTGGGGAAGAGGGAGGCCGCCCTGAGAAGCCACCTGAAGTTGGGGAAAGGACTTAAGTATCTATGATACCCCTCGTGGGGAGACCGGACCGATCAGGGACGGGACCCGGAGAGCTGAAGGAAGGAGGGGGGGCCTGATGATTTGAGGCCGGAAGACTGATGTACTCCGAGAAAGTAAAGCGGGATTCTGTCACAGTGAAACGTGGCTGTAGGGGAGGAGGAGTAGGGAGGAATGAAAAAGCCGAGTTCTGGTTCTGGAACATCAGTCTTAGATGGGACGAAGAGAAGTCAAACCTTGATAGAAGGGGAGAAATTGAACTTGTGAACTCAGGAAATACACGAAGAAAAGAGCAAACATTGGGAAATAGAGGACAAAATAGGGGCTGACGCTCTTGGAAAGATCATTAACACCACAGCCTACCAAGTCCAAAATGAGTTTGAAATTTGAGTCCATTTGGGGGCCGAATTATTTAGTGCACTTCTCAAAGCAGAAACCCAATAAATAGCAATGGGATGAAATTTAATTTTCCTTACAATTACAATGGGGTAGGAGCACAAGACACTTGAGTCCTTTGCAGGAATTACTGCGTGTGATTCTGTAACCCACCCACTTGAATAGAGAGAGATGTAATTTTTTTTTCCTCGTAATGATTTTTGTCTCAAATAATAATCCATCCATTATATAACCATTCATCATTTTAAAATAAGTTAGAAAACAGTATAAAGAACGGGGCGTGGATGAATGGATTTCAGGTGATTTTTTTTTTAATGTATTCTCCAAGACATCAAAATTCAATCAAGGAAAACATGCATATTGAACAAATTCATATATTTTTTAACATTTGCATTCATTTACATAACCTGTTTCTAGTGTGGCTCTTGAGCAGTCTGTAATAAAAAATTCACCTGAAAATCATTAACAAAAATAAAAAGATTAAAAAGGAGGTCCTAAAATGGGAGAGAAGAGAATAGTTTTGCCCCAAGTTCTTAGGTGAGGAAATTTGCTGCAACAGAGCAAGGAATTTCAGTCTGTACTCCTAGTTGTCAAGCAGAAAAGGAAAAGGAGATATCTTCAGTATTCACCATTCTGTAATAGAAAGTATACCACTTAGTCAGCAGAGAGGTTATTTCCTCCTAATTTCCAGGGGAATTTGTCACTTGGGTCTTTATATAAAGGACATTGAGCAATGTGCTGGATGATTTCATCAATGGCAATTTAGGAAAAATACAAAGATAATCTACATATTGTATTGCTATTATACTGCTCTACAAAAAAAAATGCCAAAGGCATAATGTGTTAATTCTGTCAAGGTAATCTTGTAGGAGATAAAGGATCAGGGATGTACAGTAATGTGAGCCTACTTGACAGTGGGATTAGAGTCTGGAGAATCTTGAGAAATTGTTAACATGTAGAGGAAAGAATTCCTCTTGGAAAACAATTGTCTCCTATAAGCTTTTGACAGGATCTCTGTGATAGATACCTGTTCAAATAGTTAAAAGGTTTATTAGATAGCCAGTGAAGTCCTTCTAAAGCCTCATCAAAAGGCAGAAGTGTCACAATGCATTATTTACAGGAGTTATGTTTTCCTGCTTCCTGGACTTGTTGCCTTCAGACAGGGCATAATTCATTCAGTAAAAGGTCATTCTTTCAAAGTACTAATCTTCAAGGCTGTGGTAGTCAGAAAAAAGAGACCTAGTTCAGATACAGAGCAGTTGCTGAGGGTAAACAGTTTGTCACCACCATCTCCATATGCCATCCCTCAGGACCTCTGGATGGGAACCTTTTGAACATAAACCTACTGAATTTTAAAGAACATTCTTGAGATTGGAGGTGAAAGTATATGCAAGAAAGCAGATGGGAGGTAAAGGAGGGCAATTCTTACTACACTGAAATAGATGAAGAATGACTTCAGGCATTCAGTGCAGGAGATACTAGGAATGAAGGGTAGACAGAAAATGAGGTGCTTGAAGGAAGAATTAAGAAAGCTTATGTCATGACCGGAATAGGAATTTCAGATCTAGAACTACTTCCCATTCATTATCTGGAAAGACTACTCCCCCAAAATACCTACATGTCATTTGAATATATTTTCACCTCTCAGTCCTTAGAGTAGTGGTTTGTAGCTAGTTTTGATTTTGTCTCCAGAGAACTTTTGGCAGTATGACCAAAATTTTTGGTTGTCACACTAACAGGGAACATAACACTGGCATCCAAAGGATAGAGGCCAGGGATGCTGCAAAATATCCTACACACAGGGTAAGCCCCCGTGACAAAGATTTATCTGGCCCCAAATGTCAAAAGTACTGAGCTTGAGAAACTGCCTTAGTGTGACTATTGTCCTGTTTCTAGCTAGTGTTTTCTAAGTTTCCTGGGTATCAAAATTACTTGGAGTTTTAAAAAGTGTAACCTGCCAGATCAGTATCTCTGGATGTGAAGTCCAGGCATTGCTACTTGTTAAAGGCTTCATAGGTGACTTAGATGCTATGTGCATGATTGAGAGAGAAAGGTTTATGGGGATAAATGGAGACCTACTTTTTCATTGTATTAACATAGATAATTAGTAATACAGAGCTTGCTTTGGGTTGTTTCAAAAGTGTCAAATACTATGCCAAGTCCCAATAATTTGCCAACTAGCACTATTTTATATTCCATCATCTTATTTTAAATTTTGAACTGCTTAATTTTTTAATACATGTTAGATTTTATAATAGAGTGTAATATTAAATCATTAAATTGTACTTTTAAAATTTTAGCTAAAATTCCCCAGAACTATAAACTAATAATTTAACATAGAAGTCCTCCTTGCCTGGAGGACCTAAGGAGGATCTAATAAAATCTTGTTCTAACTATACCCCAGAACCCCAACCCTGAGCTTTGCCCGGAAAGAAAAAAAAAATCTGGTTACCCTTGGATCTGCAGGCACCAGGAAAATGCATGAATGTGAGCTGTTTCAGCCTTGGTAGATCAGAATGTACATTTCCAAAGCCCCTTTTATCCATGTGTAATATACCACTTAAAATGTTTTTGTTTCTCTAATCGAAAGATCACAGTGATATAGGCTAGTTATCTTTTCAGTGTAGAAACTGAGACATAGAATAATAAACTAGTTAGCCCAGTATGACCTGGCAAGAACCCCACTTCAGGTATTCGTAATCAAAAGAAATTCCCTATACACTCTAGTGCTGATGACAATGCTCCTGGTGGGCAAAGTACGGAGTGGGTTTTGTTTGGTGCAGACTTTACTAGTTATGGGTCTGGATCCCAAGGAAAACTCTCCAAACCTGTTGCTTGATGTTCATTCTACAGGGAGACCAGGACTGTGGTATTGGGCTGTGGGAGTCTGGCCCCTGGCTAGTCAGGAGAATTTCAAACTTTTTAAAGACCTGTTCCAACTGAAGATGGCCACAAATTCTTTAATACTCTTTTCAGTCAAGAGGTGGGGGTCCATTACCTTGAGGGCACTATGCTAAGTGAAATAAGTCAGAGAAAGTTACCGATACTGTTGGAGCTCACCAATGTGGAATCAAAAAAAAAAATGGCTTGTTACAAGTTGGAGGAGAATTTCAGGAGAAACATGCCTTTTACATTTCTGATTCTGGGTTTTTCAAAACTAAAATTGGGCATTAAGGTCTTTTTTTTTTTTTTAAGAAAAGGTAATTTCCATTGCTACTTCATGGAGGAAGAAGGGAAACAGTCAAAAGCTATTAGCTATATGGGTACTGATCCATAGAAGCATCCTGGTTTGGATCACTAAGATGAAACAGTCTAAGGTCAAATACTGGAAGACAGGAAAGTGTTGGCCTTGTAGCAAGTGGTCCTCACAATGCACGTAGACTTCTCCAGTTCCTTAACCTGTATATCTGTTTCAGCTTCTTACCAATATAATAAATAATACTAAATATTTCATTTTTACACATTTTTTCTTGAAGGCTCTGTGGACTGTAAATACTTGCCAACTGTACCAGTTGAACTTTAGGAATGCCCACAAATTTTCAGACTTGTTTGGGTAGTATTTATTGTTCTATAGCGGCCATTTTCTCAATGATTAATATTGTGGAAGTTTTTAGGTAATTCTTAGCACTTAAAGTGCACCCAGGATATAGATTTCTCAACAGATAAGAATGAACCATGTTTGTTTACACAAGGGAAGATAAGTAATAATGTTTCTGTATCTTTTTTTTTTTTTGACTCAGTATTTTTCAAAGCACAGTGGAAAAGGGCCACATTTGAGAAGTAAGGATATTTTTCATAGGACACTGAAGTGATTTATACGAACTTTATAATAAATCCATTTTAAGGATGAACTCTAACTTTCTTCCCAATGTTTATGTATTAGAGAAAAGACTAAAATTGTTTTTAACTGTTATAAATTCTTTATTTCTAATTGCATATTCTATGATGAGGGTTAAAATCCTCATTGTTGCTAAGTAATTTACTCCTAATATCCATTTGCTCTTAAAAAACAATGTTTGGTGATGTTTGACACAATTTGGGACATCATGGATTTTGACTTCAGGACTCCTAGTACAGTTCTTTGGGCAAAGGCAGCAGTTTTCACATAGCGTACATCAGAATCACCTGACAGCTTAATGAACATGAGGTTGCTGGGCATCACCCCCACAGTCTGAGTCTGTAGGCCTGAGAGGAGCCCAAGAATTTGCATTTCTATCAAGTTCCCAAGTGATGCTGATACTGCTGAGCTGGGGACCATACCTTAAGACCCACTGAAGTAAGGTGACCAAGAGAATTGCTGAAATTACTTGAGCATGTGAGAGGATCATGCTTCCAATGTTTTATGTGCCTTTAAAGAAATTAACATTTAATATTGTACCCTTGTTCTTAAAGAGTGTATTTTTCCCCAAAACTATAGACTACTTAAATTTTGAATGATTTTGGTAATAGAGATTAATAATAAAATATTAGGAGGTTAGATAGAATGGTGAAACTAAAGCATGTAAGTAGCAAAAGTACCTTTGAAATTCCGAATTATAATAATCTGATTACTAGTTAAAGCATTTTTTTTTTTTTTAGTATGCGTTGTACTGACAAACATTTTCATCAGGGCCTGGGCTCCTGTCTTCAGAGAGATGGAAGAGAGCCTTTCCAAATGAACTGAAATGATAGTTTATCACTTTCACTTTACCATTTAACCAGTTTCTCTCAGGCAGATTTCTTGAGTCCAAGCTTGGCAGTGTTTCTAACTTGATTTCAAAGATCCAAAATAGACTCTAAATATTCCACACCACGTTGGTGATTAATTTGTCTGAAAACTACAGCATTGTTGCTCTCTTCTGTGTTGTAGTCAAAGTAGGATTATTGACAGATCATTTGCTCTCCTAGGTGACAGGATATGGCAAGAGAAAATGAACCCAGACAATAAAGAGAGGGATAATGAAATGTGAACACCAGTGACTAACGCAGTCATGTACCCAGGTCACAGGGTAGAGGAGAAGGCAGCACACTTATCTCCTCTTTCAAAGGAAATCCATGGAGCGTATTTATTTTTGTATTACTTTAGCCAGAGGTGTGTTGCTGTCTCTGTCTTTGGTAAAGAGAAATAATGCTGTTTATTTCGTGAATGACAAAAGGAGAATGGCTGCTTCCTGCTGCCTAATCAGCAGAGCCACAACCTGGCTAAGAAACTGCTTTTTTCCTTTCCCTAAGAATAATCCCTCCTGTTACATGGATTGGCCTTACTTGAAACTGAATGTTCTCTAACCTCTGTGCAAGTTACTATTAATGAAGAGAATATACAGATTTTGCTGGTTTTTTTGTGTTTTTTTTGTTTTTTAGGAAAAGACTGATGTGGAAGGAACCTTATTTGTTTACACAAGGTAAGAGTATTTTACCTTTATGAAGAAACTGACAGTCTTTGAAAGAATATTTTAACTCAGTTGTGTCACTCTTCTTCAAATGTAGTTTTATTTCAAAGAGAAGTGAAAAATCCTGAATCTTAGTTTGAAGTTATTAGTGATATAAGGAAGGGAATACTGAATAATGTCACCTGGTATAGTACGAGGAATACTAATTTCAGAATGTAATTTAAACTCCAGTATTGGTGAGCTTAAATCTCTGTGTTCTTTTTAAAACAGTATTAAATATTTATCCTTTAATTCAAATGAATGGTACAGAGTCCTTGAATATAATGCATTGGCAAGAAGCTAGAAGTACACTATTAAGAATATTAGATTTTTTAATCACTATTTGGAAAAAGGTTTTATTGGTCACCTCCCCACTCACCTGCCTTTGACTCTTTAAAGAAGTGTGCTCCAAAACTAAAGATATCTTTGAGTCCTCCATTATGTAGCTAATATAGAATATATTTCCAGATAAATTTAATAAATTCATGTTTTTGTCATTTGTATCAGAAATTGTTAATATCACATAGTATGTATATTGTCTTAATACTTAAGCATTTTATTCACATAAACTGTCCATCATTGTCAGGGGGAGGATGAAGATAAAATACAAAGGCCTAGTACAAACCCTTCTAGAGCTAACAGCTTCATTGGGGAGACAGAAAATGCACACACACACACATGCATTTTTTTTTTAGACATTCACATTTAAAGATAAACCCCCCCAAAATAAATAAAAATAATAAAAAAATAAAGATAAATCCCAATAGATAGCTTATCCTCAGGGCCAGTTGAAAAGTTATAAGCAATGAATGGGCTGCTGTGATTATGGAAGGCTGTATGGAATTGGTACATCCAGAGTAGGCCTCAGGAATAAGGTAGCGCTAACTTGCATAGAGGAGAGGGAAGGGCTGTCTCAACAGGAAGAATGGCAGAAGCTGAGGCATAGGACCTAGTGTGGTGAAGGGACAGTAAGGAAAATGACCTTTGGCTACGGAGAGTTTATACTGGTTTGTATCAGTTAGAAGACAGTAAGGGTAAAGAAATTTTGCTGGCTTGGAATGTCAGACCAAGGATTTTGAAATTTATTTTCTTAGCAGTAGGGAGTCACTGAAGGTTTATAAACAGGGAAGTAATAGAGTTATAGCAAAACGTGCGGGGAAAGTCAGTGTATTAGCATTATGAGGATGCACTGGTTCTAGAAGAAGCTGGGCTTAGAGAGGACAATGAGAAGATTATTGCAGGGTAGTAGATATGAGATGATGGGAGTATGGGACTAGAATGGTAGAAGTTGAGATTGAAAAAATTTCTTGAAAGATTGTATGTATAGAGGAAATGTTAATATTTAAAAAAAATTAAGATATTTAAATAGAAGACAAAGAATGACAGAATCGTGAGCAGGATGGAAAGATAGGAGGTATTTTGAAATAATGATTTTGGAGTAATAGGGCATTCAAATAAGGTGTCAGGTCCCTCAGGACAGGTTAGGGATGGAGATACTGAGCTTGGAGTCATCTGCCTTAAACTGGTCATTGAAGCCATGAGAGTACAAGTGTTCTCTGAAGGAGAAGAAAGTGGTGAGGGCTAGTGGTTGAGTTTTTGGGGCCCAGAGATACAGGGAAGAGTCAGCCATACAGATACAAGCAAAACGAGAACCCAGTTGCAGGCCCAGTGCAAGCATGGCGGAAGAGTGTGTAGGTGGAGGCTGAAGCTACAGTGGGAGTGGAAAGAAAGGAATCGATGAGCAAGGCCATCAGAGTAGGTAGAGGAGATTGGTTTATTAGAAAAGTGGTGGGAGTGCCTAAGAGCCATTGGCTACTTTAGTTTACATTATGTTCAAAAACATTCCAAAAGCACCAGAGCATACTGCCAAGTGAGTATAGACTCCTCTTGAGAATTCTGAAGTGTGAAAAGAAAACCAAACAGATGAACTCTGACTTATTCCAAGCACACACAAAGAGTGCATTGCTCATTCATTTTGTACAAGTATTACTCTTCTGAGAAGTGAAAGAAAAGATGTATTAATATATACTAATGATTTGTTTTAGGGATTTTTATTAGGCCCTCTGTCTCTTTTTTTTTTGACTGCAGAAGATTAACAAATTATACAAATATTTTCTCTTTTGTGCCCAAACCAAATGTAGGTTTGCATTTTCAAGTATTTCTTAATATACTCTGAGTTCCAAATGGAATTGTCAGTTCAACATTAAACTCTTTTCCCTGTTCCTTAATCTCTTCCCCAAATCTAACTCCTCAAGAATAGGGGCTTTTCCCATCTCCCCCCCACCCCCACCCCCAACCCTTCCCCAGGTGTGGGCCAGCCCCCCCCCCCAGTCAGATAGATGCCAGATTCTAGCATGTTGAGGTCTTTCCTCAGTAGAGAATGACAGAAAGCTCATAAAAGTCAGAAGGGAGTTTTTAGTACAGGTAATGGAGCTGCTGGTGATAATATTTTGACTTCTGTTACAGATATTGCTTTAGAGGAACTGGCACATTCATCCCCTGAGCCTATTTTGTAAATTATGAGATGGTATAGTAACCATACTATTAGAGAGGTAAGGTCCTGTTGTGATAATGAAATACTTGAAGAATCAAATTCTGATTCTGTATAAAAACACCTAATCCCATTTAAAAAATTATTTCTTTTCTTTATTTCCTCCCATGGCTTGCTCTCTTAATAGTTCATAGAGACACCCACTGGTGATTTTTGAACTTGACACTTCCAGAGGACCCTCTGTTAGAGATCTTGGGAACTCTTTTTTCATTCTTCCTCAGAATTTAAGTTGAAATGATTATCATGATGCTTTCTAGTATTGATTATATGCCCACCACTGCTTTACCTTTTCATAAAATAAGTTAGGCAAGGATTGCCTTCCATCAAGTTTAAAATTGGAGGTCTCAAAAGAAAATTCCATAAGTAGTACTGTAGCTGTATTTTACTTCTTTAGTAGCATCAAAGGGTTAATGTGAAATAAAACTAAAACAAACACCTTTTCTTCCTATTGCTCAGAACATTTCTGTGGGTTGGTTACCCTGCTGCCCTAGTTTAAAGTAAATAAATGAATTCTGCTTGCTTCAGTTTCAGCGTAGAAGCATTTGGTGTTTCATTTGTCACCAGAAGTTGCACAGTTGGATTACTATATGGCTGTCACCCAAGAGTAGACAAATGCACACGTGGTTGTTAGAGTTACACTCTGTGTAATTTGGGCTCTTTCTGCCTGACAGAGAGTAGGCACTGAAGGTTTATTCAATGAAACGAAAAATAAAAAGTCACTAAATGACACATTTTTATGGAGAAAAACTTTTATAGTAGTTTATCTATGAAGCTGTTTCCTTTATGAGGAAAACAAAACAGCTGCTGCTTTTTTTTTTTTAAGATTTTATTTATTTATTTGACGGAGAGAGACACAGTGAGAGAAGGAACACAAGCAGGGGGAGTGGGAGAGGGAGAAGCAGGCCTCCCACGGAGCAGGGAGCCCAATATGGGGCTCGATCCCAGTACTCTGGGATCATGACCTGTGCCGAAGGCAGACGCTTAACTGAGCCACTCAGGCACCCCATAAATAGCTGCTGCTTGAATTAAATTCTATGATCTTTTAATTATACTGTATCTCATCACAGGTTCGTTGACCAGAGGGGCATCATTTCTCTAAGAAATTTTACAGCTTCAATTTCAAACCAACACTAATATTTTCTATGAAAAATTTCTTTGTATGATTTTGATGCGCACTCAAGATTCTTTAAAAGTATCTGTTAGTAATTTTTTTTTAAAGTGGTTAATATTTCTGCCTTAAAGGAATTTACAACCTAAATAGGGAAGCAAGATATCTATATACACATAGCTAAATAGGTAGGACTTGTGCCAAAGGGACAGCAAGGGCAGTCATGCTGGATGTATTACATATGAAGTAGTACATGCATTAGTACATTAGTACTGTTAGCCAATAGTAAAGAATCATTGCTTTATATGTGTACAGTCTGCTTGCACAAAGCTCTATATACATACAAAAAGGTTGAGAGACACATTCGAATAGTAGTTCTACTAAAGTGTACTTCTGTGGAATAATTTGTCTTTTGATATCCTCCCCACCCCTTGTGATTTTTAGGTCTGCTTCCCCAAAGCATGGGTTCACCATTATGAATAGGTTGAGCATGGAAAACAGGACAGAACCCATTACTAAAGACCTGGATTTCCAGCTCCAGGATCCTTTCCTTCTCTACAGAAATGCCAGATGTGAGTCTTTCTTAATGCATTGGGTAGTTTTATTTCTGCAGTTTGGCCAAGTGTTTAAAATTGTATAGTAGATGTCTTTGTGTCTGTGTTCAGTATCAGTGACTCTTAGGGGCAGCGTCAGTTAACTTGGGAAATATGCATGTCCAGTTGAGGGAATCACTTCTTCCTCGTGAAAGTTTCAATGAAAATGACGTCAGTATGATAATGTAAGTATTTGAACCCTGTTTTCCGCTGCTAGACCTGTTTGTGTGAACCCATCGTAGATTTTAAACCTGAGTAGGACTGGGTGAGGCGAATTCTTGGTCAGGAGACTGCAGAGGGACAGACACATAGGCAGGGCTACAGATACAGAATGAATGATTTAGCTAGTGGTACTTTTTCCCTGTGCATCACTTCAGACTGAGCATCCTGATAGGAAATTGGAGGAAGAGGGCCTATATTCTAGATTGCCATCTTTTGAACACATAGTAAATGAAAAACCAAAGTCCAAAGAGTTTTGGTCATTTAGAATTTTGTAAACTTTGTGATGTTGAAGTTATATTAGGTAACTAAATAGTCCTTGTCTGATTTGAAACGAGGTGTAGCAATCGTCTATCCAATATTCTGTCTCCATTTTACTCTTGTGATTATCTGACCACTTGTGTTGGACTACTGGGCAGCGCAGAGAAAAATTGATGAAAAATATATGAACTGCAGGAGCATCTTCATACACAGAAAACGAGAGCATACCTAAATATAAATTGTATGTGTGTGCACGTGATCTGTGCTTTGTGCATAACTTTCAGAAAGACCTGGCAGTTAAGAAGTGTTTTCCATACATTTTCCACCCTGCTTTTGAGATCAAGATACAAGAATTTGCCAACTGTATACTATTCAGTGTAATTTTAATAATGAATGTAATACAAATAATATTTAATGTTTTAACTCCAGTGAATTGTTTTGTTTTGAAATAAATATAGCATTTTAACTTATAGTCACATATAATCAAGTTGTCACGATAGGTGGTCATCTGTTATTTAGAGAATACAGTTAAGTTTTTATGAGAAAAAAGCCATTAAAACTGTAACATGACTTACCAGTGCTAAGTCCTGTGAAATAAAAATTTAGTAATATAGGGAAATATTTTGTTCTTTTCTCCTATTTCTTTGCTAGGAGTGTAGTTAAATCAATTGTTAGTTATTTGAATTATTTGTGTGCTTATAGTTATGTCAGGTTTATTTATTTTTTTTAGATTATTAGAGTCTATGTCAAATTAATATATAATTCAGATCCTAATAATATAATCACAAAAATAAATATAAAATAAATGAGTATTAGTGACTTATAACAGTCATTTTTGTTTGTTCTTATTTTGGTTAAATACTTGGTCTAGTCAGTATAGATAGTATTTTATTTTAAATTCTTATCACAATATTACATATTATATATCATATCACATACTATATCAAAGATATAAAAATACAAACTTTCTTAATGTGGTTGATTTTGAAAAATAGCTTCTACACCCCACAGGGTTTATCTGGTAGGAAATAGTGTTTGGGTGTAGTAAACATATCAAGCCTCGCCTTGGCTCCAGGCCTCTACTGTCTAATCTGGTAGCCCCTAGCTGCAAGTGGCCATGGAGTGCTGGACGTGTGGCCAGTCTGAATTGATCTCTGCTGTGAGTGTAAAATACATACTGATTTGCAAAGACCTAGTACCAAAAAAGAATGTAAAAAAAAGTCTCATTAATAATTTTATATTGATTTATCTGTTGAAATGATAATATCTTGAATCTATTGAGTTAAATAAAATATATTATTAAAATTAATTTCACCTGCTTCTTTTAATTTTTTTATTTAAAATTACATGTGTGGTCACATTTGTGGTTCACCTTATATTTCCATTGAACAGCACTGTTCTAGGCATTTTCATTTATTTTACCATATTTCATAATCACAACTTTGTAGGGCAGACATTTTCACTGTCATTTTGCAGATGAGAAAAGTAGGCTCAATGAGATGACAGACCTGACAGAAACCTGTAAATTCTGCTGTGTTTTTTTTTTTTTTTTTGCTTTTTCTACATCATCTGTACTATTCTCTGCACTATTAAACATGAATACAAATTGAAGGCAGCCTTTTGGATGCATAACAAAATATTTCTAATGAATTTCCATAAGAAAGAAATGAAATCAGTTGAACAGCAAAGAGTGGAAAGGAATGGATCTATTTACCTTTCTGGGTTTATTTGCTTTTTATTTTCTCCTTAATATCTGGTACTAATTGCCTTTGCAGCCATAGTCTTTGGTTTTAGTTTATTTGTAAAGGCCTTTTCAGTCTCTATCATCAAAGGTTCACAGGAGAGTTTACCCGAGGTTGCTTTCAGAGTCTCAGATACTTCTCAGATGTTTATAAAGAATTCAAATACTTTAATAATCCTATATGGTTTACATATTCTCTAATAACATATAGATTGTCCTTTGAACAATGAAGCCAGCTTTATTCAAGAATGGCTTTTAAGACTCTGTACCCCTCAAGACCTGTATAATTAAAAACCTCTCTGTATAGTGTTGGCATTTCACTTTGGCCTAGGTATGTCATAGGCCGTATTTGGACGTGTCAGCATGTAGAGTTGATTTAGGTTTGTGGTGAGTTTTCTCATGGAGTGTTTTAGATTTACTAAGTTAAAGAAAAAGATTAGTACCTAGGGAGTCAATTATTCCAGTCTTGGATTGGATGAATTTAGAAAAACAAAATCAAGGAGTAAAAATCTTAAAATTTCTTCATTTAATTAAAGAAAAAAAGATGTTTAATAAATAAGTAACTTTGAACTTGACCAAACACAAAATATATGGTTTTATTACATTAAAGGCATAGTTTTTAAGCTTGGTTATAATTGGACTTGGCTTATATAACTTTAAATAAAAGATAGGTGTTAATTAAGGACAGAAATTCATTTATTCAACATTTACTGAGCATTTACTGTCCGCCAGGCACTATGTCAAGGCTTTATATGGGTGATTTAACTTTTGTAACTTTTTCTTGGAAATGCTGTTATTCTTGTTTTATAAATGAGGAACTGAGATTAAAGAGATTTAAGTCATTTACCAGGATCCATGACAATTTTGAGGTGGAAATAGCATTTGAACTGGGAAAGCCTAACTTTATTTATTTGAGAGAGCATGCAAGAGCAGGGGGAGGGGCAAAGGGAGAGGGAGAAGCAGACTCCCCACTGAGCAGGGAGCCCAGTGGTGGGCTCCATCCCAGGACCCTGAGATCGTGACCTGAGCTGAAGGCAGACACTTAACTGACTGAGCCACCCAGGCACCCTGAGAAAGCCTAACTTTAAAAGCCCAGGCCCAAGCAGTGATAGTACTAACACATATGAATGATGCATTTGAGCAAGGTTTACCTTTTAAGAAATACTTAATCTTTTTACTGCACACTCCAAAATTTAAAAAGCAAGTTTTTCTTCTCTTATATCTCAGTTATTAGGAGAATATCAAATAAAAACTAATGTAATAAAAAGCTGTATTTGACCATTTCTTTTCTATTAGAGCCCTTTAGCAACCATTTTCTGTATTTTCCATTTCATAACTAAATAAGATTGTATTTTCCCAAATATAAGATTTAAGATAAGTTACAGCAGAGGCAGGTAGGTTTCAGAGTTAGACCAACATGTTGAATATACCATTGTCTGTGGCTACAGGAGTAGAATGAAATTCTTTTAAGCTGCTTGATTTCATTGCAGACATAAACCTGGAGCTTAGAGAAAATGATAAAAGGCAAAATCAAGATATTTAAGATCAAAGTTGTTTTAGAAACTCCGCCTCAGTTTTAAAGTGAATTTACCATATTGGATAGTTTTGTATTCAGAAAGAAATACAGTTTAAATCCTTTATTGACATTTGTAGGATCTGGGAAAAACTGCTATAAATAATGGAATATGGGACACTAAATGAAAATGATAATTACAGACAGCCCTCCTCTTTCAAATAGGCCATGTCCTAGCAGTTCCTTTTTAAAGTAATTGGTGGACTTCGGTTAAACATGGCATATTGGATACATTCCTGTGGTTCTCCTAAAACTGTTGAAATGACAATAAAGGAACAAAAAGAGACATAAACCTACAAGGGTGGAGGATGCATTTCATGAAAAAGATGCAATAAACAAGAAAGAGGAAGGCATGCTATGATAGCTTTATTATTCATAATGTATTAACTTTGCCTCCCTGCAGAAGATTATGTATCTCTGTTCTGTTGATGTCAGACTTGACTACATGATTTGGTTCCTCCTCCCACAATCCACCCTCCAGGAGGATATGTAGTGACCCTGTTGAACTCAAGTATGGCTATGTGAATTGCTTTGGCCAGTAAAATGTGGGTAGAAGTGTTTTGTGTCATTTCTGAGCAAATACTTTAAGAACTAGTTCATGATTCACCATTCTCTTTTCCTTCTGCTATGATGACCAGCAGTGTTCTAGGCAGAGGCTGCTGTCAGCCTGGGTCCTGGAATGAAGACAATATGGCACACAGGTAAAAGTGACCTATGATGGACATGTAATGTGTACAAGAAATAAATCTTTATCACTGAAAGCCATTGAGATTTTGGGGGTCATCTGTTACTGAAGCATAATTGGGCCTGTTATGATAGATACATAGTCATCCAGGAAAAAGGGGATCCAAATACTGGATTGAGGTAAAGGAATTCTGAGAACAATGGTCAAGAGGAATCCCATAATGACCCCTGTGCAACGGAAGATCAGTCAGTCTAAATTAAAGTATAAGGATAAAGGGCTTCAGGAAGGGTGTCCAAGAAAAACTTTACAACTAACACCTTGAGTCTATTGGGACATTTATAGTTTCTTGTTAAGAAAGTTTGGTGATGCTATAGAAACATTGAAAAACTGAGAGAGGTACGGAAAAGTACAACAAAAGGAGGCAATTCTTAATTCCTGGGAAAACAAAATATGGTAAAAGAAAGGAAATATAATTATAGTACACTGTATGGCTCTGCAGA